CAAAGTTTTTGATCTTTCTGTTTTTGAAGCCAAGTTTGATGGGCTTGAAAGATTCAAATATTTCTGTAAGGCACACAGATTCCAAATATTTGTTAAGAAGATGTAATTGAAATAGTCGACTAAAAAATTTACTAAATGGGCTGAGCATCTTCCAGTAAGTATAGTCTTCAGAGCTCTCAGAAGACTAATAAGTTTGATACTGAAACAAAATTATTTATTTTGCCTTTATTCTCTAAAAAACTAAGAACTAAGGATGAAATTCCCTTGTGACCCTAATTATCATAACTGCAATGTTTACTTGTAATTTTTAAGATTAGATTCAATATAAAGGAAAACTCAGGGTAAATGAATTTCAAAGAACTAAGTAAAAAGAAACCCAACAGAAGAAGAGCCCAACCAGAGGTGAACACTTCTCGCTTGCTTTTGTTTCATGATCACAGCTTACCCCCTCTCCAAACCTTGGCCTTAAGAAATTCTCTTAGCTTCCCCAAATGCTGGGGTTACGGACTTCAGCAGTAGTAGCATCTGGCCATGCTTTTGTTTTCTCAAGTACAGAATTTGAATTCTGTGTTTTTTCTATACCATGCATGGATTCTTTTCTTCTCTTTTTTTTCTTTCTTTTTTTTTTTTTGAGACAGAGTGTTGCTTTGTTACCCTCAGTAGAGTGCTGTGGCATCATAGCTCACAGCAACCTCAAACTCTTGGGCTCAAGCGATTCTCTTGCCTCAGCCTCCCAAGTAGCTGAGGGACTACAGGTGCCCGCCATAACACCCAGCTATTTTTAGAGATGAGGTTTTGCTCTGGCTCAGGCTGGTCTCGAACCTGTGAGCTCAGGCAATCTACCCACCTGGGCCTCCCACAGTGCTAATATTACAGGTGTGCCCAGCCCTCAAGCATGGATTCTTTAAAAATTTATTATTAACTGAAAAACACGAATGAACAGGAGAGCAAAACACAAAATTAATATCAAGGAAGAATAATCTAACATTGCTCTTTTGTGTTCCAGAATGCTTACCCAGTACTATCATTTCATGATCACAGGTTACTTAGGTTACTTGAGATAACCTTGTAATGTTTGTTAAATTAAATTGAGTATAGCTTTTCTATATTACTTACTCTGGTAAGGCTACCATATCTATGTCATACTAAAGGGCTATTAACAGAAAAGAAAAAAGTAAATGAAGATCTAGTATTTAATTTTCTTTATTCATATATTTACTGTAACCCACTACAGCCATATTGAATTAAGGCTATGTTTATTTAAACCTCAGTCAAATTGGTCATGTTTATAATCTGATTGGTAAAAATGAATTTCTCTTGGGTGTTTCCATGGGTCATTCACCAAGCAATAACAACAGCACTGGTTACTGATCCCCTGGGAATAGCAGCTTAATTACACAGAAATTTGAAATCGAGAATAGTGGTACAAGTGCAAACATAGAAACTTGTCCTGTCTTTTGGGTGGTTTATTATTAAATTTAATACCTCAGATAGTCTTTTTTGTTTGTGCAGATTTTAATTACTAAGTAGGTCTGGTAAAATATGAATTATTGTATTATCACAAGTGATAAAATGTATATGGTTATGAGAATTGCAGTCTGCAGGTGTAACATACATAAAACAAGATGAATAGTATCAAGCAATTAAACTGAAACTATCTTTAAGGAGAAGAGGTTTAATGCTACTCTTAAGTGTAACTTAAACTCTCACTAAATATTTTTAACTGCAATAAAAGCCTGTTAATTGTAGGAGTGACTTCTTTATAAGACCTCAGTTTTTAGAGTTTTTCCTTACTAAGAATGTAAAAGCTTACTGAAGTAATTTCTATTAGTAACTCATTCCATAAAGAGCTGAATTTTTCCTTGGCTTTTGAGCTCAATGAAGAAAGCCCAAAATAGCACAAGAAATTTTGTGTGTTGTGAATATATGTATGAACTCAATCCAATTGGGATAAAAATGATTAAATTATTGATAAGGTAAGGTCATCATTGGTCTCAAAGTATAGTCATATGGTTCTTCTTATATTTTGAGAATTTGTCCTTAATGTTCTTATAATTGTGTATAAAATAGAAGAAATCATATTTCATTTTAATATCCTTGCATGTATCATTTATTACACCTTATGTAAAAGAAACATGCTAAATATCGAATAATAATTTTTTCTTAAGTGTTTCTGGGCTTTTTTCTACTTTCTGAAGTATTTTTATGCCACTACTGACAAAATTAATGCCTGCACTTCCAATTTAGCTAGACTTTTACTTCTCAGTATCGTGACAAGTGACTTTACAGTGTGGTTAACAAAATTTTGATAAATACACGAAACACTTAACAAAGAGTGTAGAGCACTTTACAAAGAAATTTCTAGACACCCACACACACACACACACACACTGCCCTGTGAACTCACATACAGACACAGAATTTGGTCCTTAGCCTGGAATTATTTAGTAGTTTATTTAGGAAGGGTAAAACTTAAAGTATAAGCAATGTGAAACATTTATAAAGTAGCACGTCATAGATTACACATTAAACATTAAAGTACTGAAGACTTGCATTCTGTGTAGTTTTGAAGATGTTAAATACGTGAACAATTTGACACAGCAAAATGAAGAAAAATTTTCCTCAATGTAGATTACTAGAGGTTTCCAATTCCCCTTCTGAAGGAGCTGCAGTACAGATTGTTGCATGTATACCTGTGAGGTCATTTCTGAAGCTAACACAACCTTAATCAGCAGGAAGGTTGCAAAAGAAGATGGTGCAATAACTGGGCATTTTGCTCTAGAAATAAAATATGGATATGGATTATTTCTAAGAAATAGGCTACTTGGTGGGTTTTCTGGTTTGGGCTCTTTAAGTACTATCTATGATGATGCTGAAGACGTGATTTCTCATAAGTAAATCACAGGAATTTGAACTATATGGATGGAGGGGAAAAATAGTATTTTATTCCTATCTTCAGTTATATATATTATTAACTTTCACCTGTTTGATTCATTGATGGATTTTCCTTCCAGTTCTGTCAGTTGAATCACTATGAATAACCACATTCCAAATGCTGTGGTCATTTAAGAATGCAGAACTGTATATCAATTAAAGATCCATTGAACAGGTAGCCAGCATGGTTTGATTCATGTACTTTTTTGCTTTTTCCGTCTCTGGCTCCTGGACAGTCTTTGCGGGACCAATTAATTCCTTGGACTTAAGAATTACAACCTATTTAATTTATAGATATTTTTGTACTTCTATGAATAGTAACTCTTAGCATTTGTAATTTGAAACAAGTGGAGGGATGTGGAGAAGTAGACAATAACATGCATTTTGTGTTAATGAACCCTCAGTGTAGCAGTGAAGTAAAAATTAGAAAGGAGATTAAAAATTATGGAAGATATTGTAACTTTTTTAAAAGATAAATGTTATGTAGGTATTTAAATTTTTCTGAAAAACTGAGGAATCGATGTAGTTTAAAATACAATCTAATTTTCTTCTGTTGGTTAATTTGATAATAGGCATAAAAGAACTTAAGTATTCGACCACATGGTTCCTAATAAACTGTGATACATATTTGCGATTATACAGCTTTGATTCCTCAAATGTATTACTCCCTTAGGAAGTATTGAGGTTTTTTAAAAAAATTTTTTGCCTCACTTTAACCCCACAGATGGTTATATTTGGTTTCAAATTTTACAAAGACGTACCATCTCTTAACTAATTATTAAAGAATTTCTTCTGTTCTTTACTCCATGATGGTACTAGAAATTTATAATTTTTAATTTTTTGTTATGTGCCAGAATCACATAGAATTCTAGCTGATGTGAATCACATAGATTCCTAGCTTTTCTTAGGAAAAGGCTTATTTAAAGAAATTGTGTAGCCGTATCATATAAAATTAGAAGTAAATGGATAAAAACATCAAACCTAATTTTTTTCTGTTAAGAATTAGATGTAAATAGCTTAGTTAGTCTTAGCATTCATCAATCTAAAGTGTCACTATTTATGAAATAAAATTACATATACATACATTGTTTAGTATTCTTATTAGCTGTTTATGTCTGCTTTGTGGCATAGATACTCATTTTCCAGGCCATATTAGTAAACATGAAATGCACTTCTAGAAAGAGAGCATCACTGATGAAGTATGTCTAATCTAAAGCTAAAAAATTAAGTATGACTATATGTTTCATTTAAAATAACTATCATGCTTCCCAGCTACTCGGGAGGCTGAGGCAAGAGAATCGCCTAAACCAAGGAGTTGGAGGTTGCTGTGAGCTGTGTGACACCACAGCACTCTACCGAGGGCGATAAAATGAGACTCTGTTTCTATAAAAAATAAATAAATAAATGACTATCATGCTTGACCACACATATAGATATCTACTGAGGTTTTTGCCCATTAAATTTTAGTGAATTATTTTAAATAGGAGTGAAATGTGAAAATGTAGTTTTCAAAATCTGTCTGTACTATTAATACATATTTGTCATATAAACATATGCAAAGGCTAGTTTAACAGCAGCAACAAAATTTGCTAGGTGTAGAATATAAATGTCTTAACACAGAAAATGCCGTGAAGGCTATGTTGACCAGTTTGATGAAAGCATTTCAGATTGTGTGTAAAACAGCACATTGTACCCCATGGTTATATTAATATACACAGCTATGATTTAATAAAAAAAAAAAAGTAGAGATCGTGTTATTTTTGAAAATTATATTTTTAACTCATAATCTTACCTGTGAGACAAGTACCAGACTACTTCACATTTTCTATTTACTTTTTGAAGATTTTTGATTTCTGTGAAATGTGAAAGATTTCAAGCCTAATGCTTCTATGCATTTGTGAATAAAGTTTGATGACTATGGGCTATATTTTTGGTGTATAGCATTTGCTCACTTGTGCTCATTTAATAAACACTAAATTTTTTTCACAGTTACTTGAGAAAATGATCACTCTTCATATTACTCTGAAAAGTACTGTTTTCTGAGGTTTTGTTTCGTTTCTTTCCAGACGATGGGTACGGCTGCTGTTTGGACGAGAGTTCCCCCTTCAGGATCTTCTGGTAGTCTGGGATGCCTTGTTTGCAGACGGCCTCAGCCTGAGTTTAGTCGATTATATCTTCATAGCCATGTTACTGTACATCCGAGATGCTTGTGAGTGTTAATGACCTTGCCTACATTTGACTAGGTAGTCTTGATCTTTAAAAATGTTTTTCCTTTCAAATATACTTTATATTTTATTGTCTAATTTACATATACTTAAATTTTTATAGTAGATAATATATTGAAATTTCAAAGGAACATAACGAAACATCTTGTTAACCATATACATATTGGGAGATGTGGGTGATTTTATCCTGAGAAATTTGGAATATTCTTCAGACCCATTTTTCTAAAGACTTCACTCCTGCTTTAATCTCCTCATTGCACAAATTTGTGAAATGCATATATAAAAGCCAGTATTTTAGATATGTTTAGAGCTCCACCTTCTGACAGGTAGGGAGTAGTCAAGGATATTTATCAGGAGATTGGAGCGATTTTTATAGTATCAACACTTTGCCATTAACAATTAAATATTATACATAAAAGTATTTTAAATTCTTCCCAGTTATATTTTAGCAAAATGCATTTGTCAATACAGTGCCTGATGGTGGAAGTGTTACCATCTCCTTCTATCTACATTTAAGGTATTTGCCATAAGCAGAAAGCCAGGGTCTATCTTTTTTGAATAATCTAATGTTCCTCAGCTTGAAGAATATATCAGAGTGTATTTTAAATTTCAAAATACCTCAAATTGTTTTCCTCTTCAGAGAAATATACAAAAACTTCACCAGATAACATTTGTACATCTAAATGAAATTAGGGAAAATTACACAAAGTGATGTGATTTAATTAGGAAATAGAAAACTGTCCTAGAATAGGATATTGTCAGAAGAACATGTCCTATTTGGAGTCATTCGTAATTGTGACTGGTCAACTGGCCCCTTTATTCATTCACTGAATACCACTTGTGCCAGATGCTCTTTTTATGCCCCTGGTAACGTGAGTACTTTAATATTTTAGATTATACATTTTTGATTTCCCAAAATAAGTAAGTGACAGGAGCACCACATTTATGAAGGAACATCTAGAAAGTAGAGAGGGATGATTGAGTAGATTTGATAGATAGTGGACTTTAGCGGATTCAATACTAATCTCCCTCTTAAAGTTGTATTTTTTTTTTTTAAGAAACTGTGCGTAAAGGCTGGTCCAAGTGCAATGGTGTTTACAATGGATTGATCACAACCAGTTACAGATTCCTTTGTTCCTTCTCCATTTCCACTGCTTCTCTTGACTAGTAAATAAAATAAAATTTTAAAATGTGAGTAATAAAAACAAAAGGAATAAGAAACCTCTTTTAGGGAAAAGAATGATTTTGGATAATTTCACAAAACTTTCTAAATCAAGCAACTACTGAAATGTATTCTGATTTTCTATAATTATGAATAATTTGTTCTTTTTTAAACTTTAGTGCATCACCACTGTTCATTTTTAATTTAATTATCCTATCTCCTGTTCTAATATCTGTTCTTTTAATTTTATAAAGCATGGGAAGTTTTTGGCAGCTGAAACCATTATACATTTTTTAATTTTGTACTGTTGAATTTATAAAATATGGAAAATGCAGGAGTAACGAAGTAGTTTACTCTTTCAATATTCAGTCTAACTTATTTTAATTCTGTTAAGTCCATAACAATGGATGGGATCTCCTAAAAATAGAATGAATGTCTGTTATGTATTTAAGTGCCACTGCTCCTGTCCTAAAGAAACTTACCAACTAGTAGGAAAGACTGGCAAAATTAATTTTAAACTAACATATTAGTGTTTGGTGCTGTAGTTGAAATGTGAGCAGGTAGTATGAAAATTTAAAAGAGAAGCACTGAGCCCCCCTCTGGGCCAGCTGTGAGTGAATAGAGAAAATTGTGTAGGTGTTGGCAAGCCAAATAAGGGTATTTGCATTCCAGGCAGAAAGAAAAACATGAACAAAGGCCTTGGAACTAAGAAGCAGCTTAATAGGGGTATGTGTATGTTTCTAGTACAAAGGGAGAGACTAGCAGGTTATGACAATGGATAAGTGAACAAGAAGCATCATGATGAAAATCTTTGTCCTATAACCAATAGGGAGCTACTATTAAAAGGTTCAAAGCAAAAGTGTGATAACTTTGAGGGTGGTGCCTGTAGCTCAAGGAATAGGGCATCGGCCCCATAGAAGCAATGTGGAAAATGAACTTGAAGGAGACAAGAGTAGGAAAAGGAAGGCATAGAAGGTTATAATAATAGTTCAGTGAAAAACAAAGGATTAGAGAAGTAGTCAGAGCTAAAGTCAGTATGACTTAATGATTTAATATGGGGGGGAATGGTAAATCTAGAACAGTCCCCAGGTTGAAGGCTTGAGTGACTGGATGATATTTTAACTTGGATAGAAAATATAGCGATTATCAGATTTGGAGAATGTAAATGAATAACTGAGTTTTGGCCATGCTGAGTTTGAGATAATGTAAGAAATCATGATGTGATGATTGGAAATAAAGCTAAATGTCAGTATCAAGGCTACAGATTTAATTTTGCAAATGATTAATGGGTATATATTAGTTAAAACTGTAACAGTGTTTGCCACAACCTAAGAAGAAGGTGATCATATATTGTAATTTGTTTGGGATAGTTTTGGTTTACATCTGCTAGCCCAGAACAGTAAGTATTAATACAGCCCTTTTCCATTCTTAAAGATACCACATTAGGATCATAAAAAGTATATGATTCTCCTAAGGTGGGTACATATAGAAAGAGTACGTGGGCAAAGGTAGAACTTTATTTCACATCACCACTTAAGAGTCACCAGAGAAGGAAGAGCTTATTTTGTAACCCTAAAGTACCATCCTGTCTGAACCAAGTGGGGAGAAGGTCAAGAGTACAGAGGAACCATAGTACAAGGCTAGGCAAGTCCTCTCAGATTTGGTACAGTGGAGGGACAGTCATGGGATACCTTGTCCAGAGTGGATTCAGTAGAGTGGTAGAGCAGATGCTAGATTATGGTAGGTTGAATGAAGAGTGACTGGCCAATTAAGAATATCAGTAGCCCTTTCTCCAGCTTTTTCATTTGTTTGTTTTTTTAATATATACATTTTCAACTAAAAAAAAAAAAGGACTAAATAGAAAAGAATATGGAGATGGCTTGTATAGAGTTATCTTTAAAGGTTAGCTGAGTAGGGAAGAACAAACCAGTAGCTAGAGGGCAGTATAGGGGAAAGGAATGTTGTGGCTGGCTGGCTTCAGATTGAGAGCAGGGCACATTGGAGGCAGGGCTGAGCTGAAGGAGAGGTTTACTTCTTGTACCAGCCTAAGTTTCTACTTCAAGAACCAGCAACACTTATTTTCTCTAGTTCTGTGTTTTGTAGATAAGATCTATAAAAAGAGATAGTGTCTAGTTTCTTTTGAAGCTCTTACTTGTTTATTATACAAGGTCATGATCAGACAAAAGGACATGGAACAGCCCTGGAGCTGACTAGGATGGTTAAAGTTAGTGAAGGGAAAAGTAAGTCATTTAGGAATTAGGAAAATCAAAGGATTTTGTGGAAGCAGAGGTTTTTGTTTGGCTCTCCATTTCACCAAGGATCATGACAGGAAAAGATTTAGACATCTGCCTCTCTGTTTCTGTTCCCATACCATGCTGTTTGGGTTACTATAGCTTCAAATCTATAAGGAGAGGCCTCCTGCTTTCTTCTTATTACATAGGTTGCATTGGCTATTCGGTCTTTTCTGGTTCCGTACAAAGTGTAAAAATATTTTTTCTAGATCTGCAAAAATTAGTGTTGGCATTTTAATGAGGATTGCATTGAATCTATAAATTACTTTAGATAGTATATCCATTTTAATAATGTTAATCTGCCAATCCATGAGCATAATAAATTTTTCCGTCTGTTTACAACCTCTGTAGTTTCTTTCTTCAGTATTTCATACATGTAGTTATCCCTATAGATGTCTTTCACTTCCTTAATTAAATTATATTCCTAAGTGTTTTATTTTCTTTGTTGCTATTGACAAAAATCTCAATACAGAAGATTGATTGTTACATCTTTGCTTTGATTTTCACCTTGACTGTTGTGGGTATATATGAAAGCTTCTGATTAGTGTACATTTATTTGGTAGCCTGAGACTTTGTTGAATTTATTTATCAATTCTAGGAGTCTCTTGGTGGAATCTTCCAGGTTTTCTGATTATAAGATCATGTCATCAGCAAAGAGTGATAATTTGACCTCCTTTTCCCATTTTGGATACACTTGATTTCCTTCTCATGCTTGATTGCTCTAGTATGAGAGAGCAAAGCTTATGTCCAGCTTATGTCTACTCAAGTGATCCACCTGCCTTCATCTCCATTTCTCTTGAACACCCCTACTATTTTGAACATAAATAGAGATAGTGGGCAACTTTGTTTGATTCCACATCTAAGTGGGAATGTTTTCAGTTTTTCCCCATTAAATATGATGTTGCCTGTGGGTTTGTTGCATATGGCCTTTATAATTTTGAGGTATGCACCACCTATGCCTGTTCTATTAAGTGTTATTATCATAAAGGATGCTGAATTTTGTTGAATGCTTTTTCTGTGTTTTTTGACAGAATCATATGGTCCTTGTCTTTGCATCTCTTTATGTGGTGGATTACATTGATACATATGCTAATGTTGAGCCATCTTTGTCATCTATGGGATGAAGCCCATGTGGTTGTGATGAACTGTTTTTTTGATGTACAGCTGAATTTGGTTTGCTAAGATTTTATTGAGAATTTTTGCATCTGTGTTCATAAGCAGTATTGGTCTACAGTTTTCTTTTACACTTGTGTTCTTTCCTAGCTTTGGTATCAAGATGATATGGGCTTCATAGAACAAGATAAGAAGGATTCCTTCCTTCTCAATGTTAAGGAATGATTTCTACAGTACAGGTATAAGCTCTTCTTTGTAGGTTTGGTAATATTTGGATGTGAAACCATCTGGCACAGGACTATATTTTTTGGAAGATTTTTTTATTGCTGCTTCAATTTTGGTGCTTGATAATAGTCTGTTGAGGAAGTTCTATATCTTCCTGATTGAGCCTACGGAGGTTGTGTGTTTCCAAAAATTT